CAAAAGTTGACTCCCACGATCTTATGCTAGCAACTGAAAGCAACATGTAAAGGAAAGTGACGTTTAGTACTGTTCCAAACCTACTGTTGAATATATCTGTTGGGAATCAGCCGTTGGAAGGAGAAAGGACTTTTCTATCCTTACAATGACTCTATTTGAAGTCTATATAAGAAGATCAAAGTGAAGAAGTCAAAAACACAAGAAGGGGGTTGAATTGTAAAACTTGAAATCAAATGCAGACAACACGTTATTTTTATCCTGGTTCGTTTGATCTCAAACTACTCCAGTCCACCCGTCAAGGTGATTTCGCCTCTCTCCAACGAGGTCTTAATCCATTATATTCAACTGAATATTACAACTTCTTTAACAACTGCTAAAGCCTTCTTGAGTCTAAACCACAGACCGGTTTCTCATGGAAATTCTTTCTTACAGATAAATGAATACTATGTGTGTTGAATGTTTTCTACAAAAACTTTATATCACAACTGTGATAATACACAAATTAAGCTTATGTGAAACTAGGATGCTATAACTATAGAGTAAGCAATTTGAGAGATATAGAAAGCTGTATGAGTGAGGATGAAGATGATTTGCTTTAGGCGTGTAAAGAGTTGTAGAGCATTAGCCAATTCATTTCTCACTGACTTGTTTATATAGCCTTGGAAAAGATACGTTGTAGTCAATTATTCCATTTCAATGCCCATTACGTTCTTTCCATATTGAGAAGATCTTTGTCTTGGAATAAAGCCGTTGGTAATAAAGTGTCTTGAATGCACAGTACCGTTGTCAATTCAGCGTGTTATTGGCTTTGGCTTATTCTGACGCTTCTAGGTGCTGATGATATTGTTTTGGTCTTGATCAGAGTTTAGAGTATGTTAAGCGCAAATCTATTCATCAAGCTTCAGCGTAAGCACATGCTTTGATCTTCTGATGCTGGCATATGATATTTCATCTTATGATGCTGATGTTGTCATTCTTATGCTGATATCCATCAGAGTTTCTGTAAATTCACAATATAATTTTTAGGTAGCATATATGTCTCATATGAATTATACAATTTATTTAATCTTGCATTTTGTTATCATCAAAACTTTAACTTAGAGTAGTAGATTCAAACTTTGTTCTAACAATCTCCCCCTTTTTGATGATGACAAAAACCATATTTTTTTTCAATTGAAATTTAAAGAAAAAAGTATCAGAGATAACCAAATAATAAATTGTATCAGAGATAAACAGAAAGGTATCAAAGATAAGAAGATAGGGAATAAAAAGGTATCAGAGTTATGATCAGAAAAACTCCCCCTGAGTTTATTAGTTCCCTTTAATTCCATGAGTCCTTTAGCATCAGATATTTATTGAACTTTCTTTGAGCATCAGATCTTTCCTTTACTAGAGCAGAGCTTCAGTGTATTAGAGTTCATCAGATTCTTGTACGTGTAAGCTTATGCGGAACAAAGAAACATTCAAGTATATCAGAGTGTTAGAATGTTTGAGACTTTTGTCTCAGTAATCCGTTATTGAAAAATATCATTCTTTCTCCCCCTTTTTGTCAGCAATCAAAAAGTACAAATAATTGAAGTTAAAAAAGATCAGTGCAGAAAAACGATTGTATTCAGTTCAGAGCTCAGAAAATATTACAGATACCATGTAAAGAAAACACTGAAAACATCAAGAAACAAAATCTAAGGAGGGGGTGGAAGGCGTGTGAACAGAGCTTCTAGCATGTTCTTAATCTGATCAGTGGTTTCCTTCTGCTGATGCACCATGTTGGCTACTGAGTCAATCTTACTATCCTGAACATCCATCCTTTCCTTCATTCGTTGATCATTCTCATCCATTCTCTCCTGCAGTCGAAGATCATTTTGCTTCAGCTCTTCAAGAGTCTGCCTGTTCAATGCTGCTTGAGAGGTGTCAGAATCAGGATGCTTCTGAGAGCTTTCTGCAATAACTTCTTCTTGACTTAAATCTTTAGCTAGAATCGTCTGTTCTTCTACTGGTTGAACTGTTGAAGCTGGATGCTTTTCAGACCAAGGCTCACTGTCCAGATGAAGAACTTCATCCTTCAGCAGCTGACTCAAAACTGGACCTTCAATTTCTTTAAGCAGATCGCTGAAGTTCTGTTGAGCCTGTCCATAGCCTTAGTCCTGCAGCTTAAAGGTTTCAACGCATACCCATCTTCTGAAGAGTGTCCAGAGGTGGTCTAAAACAGCGGGATCAATCACTTCCAGACTAGCCTGTTTTAGAGAAGAAATCCACTTCTGCATATCTGTTTCAAAATTCAAGATGCTAGAACCAACATCTGGTTGTTTGGGTTTGGGAATGACAGTTTTATTGATAATGGCAGCAAGGCGTTCAAGGACTGTTAGATCAATGAAGGTATTGTTGTGGTCATCTGGATTTTTCTTGGGTGAGGGAGTAGGAGAATCAGGAATGATTATTGGACTGGATGGGGTATTAGGTGGAGTAATTTCTGGTGAGGATGGTAGTTGAGGGATATTAACAGTGGTACCACCAGGAAATTGCATGGCTAAGGGTCGTGGTTCAGAGGATTCAGATGATTGAGGTTCAGGGGATTGAGCCTCAGAGTGTTGAGACTCAGGTTGTGGAGATGATTCGTGTTGAGGTGAAGGTGGATTAAGTTCTGGTTGTGGAGATTGAGGTTGTGGAATTTCTGGTTCTGGTGAGTGTGGATCTTCTGGTATTGGTGAGAGTGTAGTTTCTGGTTGTGGTGAATGGGGAGTTTCTGGTTGAGGATTTGGATTTTCTGTATGGGGAGAGGAAGAGTGTTGATCTATTTCAGAAAGAACTTCTTCAAGTTCTGGTTCTGTTGAGGTTGTAGGTTTTGGATTATGAGGTTTGGCGCGGGATCTTCTGAGGGTTAATGACTCAGAAGGGTCAAACTCAGGTTCAGTATCATCAATGGTTGGAATGGGAATTGGGATTTCAAATGAAGCTGGGGTTGGAATAAATGTTGGAAGAGCAGATGAATTTAAAACATTAACAGAAGATAGATTACCTCTCTTCTTTGGGGTCTACTGAGACGATCCTTCTGATACAACCTTTCTCTTCTTAGTCTTCTTCAGAGTAACCTCTGGTGTTTGCTGGTGCAGATCTTTAATGTTCAGATCAGGATCTGTGCCATCAGCTTTACAAGCATCCAAGTGTCTGAGAACAAGGACTGGTTTAGAGTCAATCTCAGAGAATATAGGAAAGTTGTCCAGAGGGACTCTTCTGCTGGTGATTTCAGCATGAGGAGTGACGCTGGGCTCCTTCCTTATGTTCTCTATCAGCTTCATCTTCTTCAGATTCTTGGCATTCAACTTCTTGCCAACAGAAGGTTCTAGAGAGCTTATTTCCTGTGCCTCTGTCAAGTGTTCAATCAGCCTATTCTCCGTTAGAATATCTGATATCAATATGCCGAAGGGTATCCAATCCCTTTTAGTCCTTTCTTCTTCTCTCGTTTCCTTGACGCTTGTCTTCAGATGATTGAACAGAAGATGAGCTAGGTTGATCTTGGACTTCTTTGCAATAAAATAAATCAGAAATTGTTGATCTATGTTTATATAGTCAGGAGAGCTTGTAGGCTTCCTGTGGTTGAAGCAGCCCAGAATAATCTTTGCCCAAATTCTGTGCTGATCTTTCAAATCTCTTATTTTGCTGGAGGGAACCCCATGTGTGAAAATCTCTCTTGCAACTAGGGCAGAGTTTGCACATCTATCTGCCATGTCAATACAGCGAATACCACCACCATTGTATCCAATCAGCCTTGCAATGTGATCTTCAGTAATCACAATCTTCTTTCCCATGATATACGAAGTAACCTGATGAGTTGAGGAAAACGCATGTATCCAGAATTCTTTAACCAAAATGGGGAACGTTGGACCCACCAACCTATCAAAGTACCTTTCCCAACCTTGTGCCTTAATTTCTTCAGACAAATCAAAGCCATTTTCCTTCAAACTGTTGAAATCTACTATCAATTCTGACAGAACTTCCAAGTTCTTGACCGGAGTGAGGAGCGTTCTGAAAGGAATCTGATATTGTTCAGAAGAAGCATCTTGCTGGGAACCTGCAGATGGAGTGCTAGAGGATGCCATGTTCACACAAGAGTTTTTGAGAAAAAGCTTGAAAAGGGTTTCTTTGAGAAAAAAGATGAACACACAGTAAGAACACAGAAATATTTTGAAGATTGTAAGTGACGGTAAAAAGTGAATGAATGATGTTAAGGCGTTTAAATAGGTCTCAAAAAAATGTTTTGAAAACATAAACGTTTTAAGAGAGAGAATTAAATCATGATTACTCGCATTTAATGTTGGCTGATTTTAGGGGATTTAGAAAGATATTTGGAACGGTTACCCATGACATGTGTCTCAATGCATCCAATCAGTGCTTTGCCTTCTCAGAAGCGTGCACGCGTGTTCTGCCTCAGGAATTAGCTGATGACTGGATGACACTTGTTTGATTTAGTGAGCAACACATCTATCCTTGAAATGAAACACTCAGATCTTTATGGATAGAATCTGATACAATCTGCATGTCTAAATTTCTGAAAGAAGATTGATCATAAGTTCACAGTAAAATAAAACAAATTCTGAAGGTTAATATATAAAATTAAAACATTTTCACTCTGGGCAGAGCTTCATGCTGAGATGTTTCAGAATGAAGTTGAACCTATCTTCAGAAAGTGGTTTTGTGAAAATATCAGCCCATTGATGGTTTGTATCAATAAATTTTAAGTTTAAAATGCCTTTCTGAATATAGTCCCTAATGAAATGATGTTTTATTTCTATATGCTTAGCCCTAGAATGAAAAATTGGATTTTTACTTAAGAAAATGGAAGAAGTGTTGTCACAGAGTATAGGAATGTTACTCTCAAATATCTGGAAGTCTTCAAGCTGACTTTTCATCCAGAGCATTTGTGTGCTGCATCCTACTGCTGCTATGTATTCAGCTTCTGCTGTTGATAGCGCAATTGTGGATTGCCTTTTGCTGTATCCATCTGGGGAAAGATAAGAATCCCTTTTTTAAAGGTAAGGACTGAAGGGAATAAAAAAAATAGAAAAAATCCCTTACCGGCCGACGGGACTCTACGTCTGGGTCTTATTCCATCTTAAACTCGGATTAGGAAGAGTGCCCTTGAACTACAGATCAATCATAATATAATAAACAATAAAAAAAAGAAATGGATTCTCCTGAATCTAACAAGTAAGCAAGTAAACTACCTTTAGGCGAGAAAAAGAAAAAAAGGCAAGAGGGAGATAGGGAAGAGGAGATTAAGGATAGTCACTCCGTTCCATATATAGTGAACATAGATTCTTGTTTCATTTTCCATTCCTTTCGGGTCGAAAACGCGGGCTGCTGGTGGGGCTGTGCCCATTCTTTCTCCCTCTTATTCCGCTTGACAACCGGAATAAGGAACCTTAGAATTAACCCTACCTGTCGATGAAAAAATAGGATTTGAGAGGAGTGAAGCTGCTTGACCTAATAGGGCAAGGAGTGAGAGCTAGCGGATCAGAAAGATTTTTATGGAATGTCCTACTCTACTCCTGCCCGAGCTTTCTGATCAACCAATCCCCTCTTATTTTAGTTTAGGGACATCTCTTTGTTAGGTAGGGCCAGGGATCACTAATTAGTCGAATGAGCCCATCCCTCAGGCCTATCATTTATTGTCGATCCGGCTCGGCTGGCGGCTCCTGCATCTCCATGGGGCCCCTACAAGTTGCTAGGAGTCCCTCTAGTCGAATCAATAATCAATAGAAGTTGACTGACCTGGCTCTTCAATCGACGATCTACTGTTCCCTCTTAGTTGCAGATGCCCATGCTTTGATTCGAAAGCCCTAGCCAGTGATGAATCCCCAGTAAGATCGGAGTCTTTCATTCCTCCTCCCTTCAGTCCAGTTTGAACCCGTCCCAGCAACGAAGACCTTCCTACTTACTGCAAGGTGAGGCTCTGCCCTTCCCCTAGAATCCACTCCGGGTCGGAGGAGCAGCTAGTCCAACTTATTGAGCAGCCGAGATATTGAACAACGAACGAGCAAGCTACCTTGCCTCACCCTGAGATGAGAGGGAAGGTCGATTTGACTCGAATCCTGGACCTGATCTTTAATCCTACACCGGTTAATGATGCGATGGGATAAGTTTTTTTTCCATCAATGCTGGCCCAGTCGAGGCTCGTCCATGCCCAATCCCAATGGACAAACCTCTGATCTGCCCCTAGCTCTATAATCCACCCGTCTTCCCCAGTCCCTGAAAGCCCTCCTATCCTTGGCCTAGCCCTCTTTCTCAACTCGAGTCTGAAGTTCAGCGGCTTTCATCATTGACAAAGACATGCGCTAATAAGACAAAGAAGTGGGGAGTCTATGCCTTTTCATAAAACGAAAAGCTTTCAGTCCTTGAATGAATCAGTAACAACGAATTCGTGGAATGAGGGATCAAGAAACGAATAGGGAGGGGAATGGCCTTTCCATTATTGGTGGACCATCCCTTGAATTGAACCGGTCACGGAGCTCTCCATTGAGTTGTTTAGGTTCTAGAATTCCATCTCTAGTTGGGGGTTTAAGTTCGAAGGTTATCAAATGTGGTGCGGGTTCATCTCTCTCGACCAGTTCAGGTTCAAGGGAAGGGTTATCGAGGGGACCCAGACTTTAGATCTCTTTCTTCTCTATTATATGGCGGGAGGTTTCTTTCGTATCAAGAGTGTGTTGGGGAGGCCTGGGAAAGACGGATTGGATCGAGAGGCGATGCCTACTCTACTCGTTACCACTAAACAACGAAGCCAAGAGCGGAAGGAGGGACTTGAACCCTCAACCTCAGCCTTGGCAAGGCTATGCTCTACCATTAAGCTATTTCCGCCAGCTACGGTAGTGGCGAAGCACTACTGAGCAATTAACGTATCACTTGATACGGACGACTTCTGTTTTTCCGCCGGACCAAACTCTTAACCTCCGATCGAGATACGAGCACGAGTAGGTAGGCGGCTAGGGGGGGGGGGGGGGGGAGGGGCGGCTGCCTTTTCAATAAATCTCCGACTGCTCAGTGCCGGCCGCTATTGGTGTGAGTTGTAAGGAAGGAGTCTTGGTCTCGAGTCGAGCTGGGGCATCATTTCATTCTCGTAACGGGAGTGAGTGCACCGCAAGATAAGACAAGTGACTCCCTCGCAGCGGTGGCATCTGTCTTTTCAGTTCAGTCATTTCCTAAGACGGCTCCTCTTATTATACGATAATCCAAGCAGATCCGGGAGCTGAAACATGAGTGTTTGTCTCTTTTTCAACTTCAACAGGAATGCATCAACAAAACAGCCCTTCTATATAGATCGTCGTGGCATGAACTTTGTCAAAAAAATTAATTTATAGCTAACTCCTCTTCCTATTGATCTTGATTAGTTCCAGCTTGTTGAGAGTTATCTTTTCTTTCTAGACCGGACCCTTAGACCGTCTCCTGAAAGACCTGCTTATCCCGCATGTGCTTTCGGAGCCCCCCACCCATTCAATCACTTGCTTGCAGCCATTCCCCGAAAAAGGGAGAGACGAGGGAATCGTCCGCTCCCGTTCATGTGACGAATCGAACATCGTTAGGTCCCGAATTCTACGAACCACCGGACCTAGACCAAGATCTCCATTACGTCGTACGATATATCGATCCGAAGAACTGACTTTCAGTTGTAAGTCATCCATTCTGCTCCTATCTAAAGTGATGCTAGGCTGCTTCACGCAGGTGCGCTTCGCTCGGCCACATGATTAACATGTTTTAAGCTAACTGCATGTCGAGCGCTTAGGCGAAGATTGTGGTCACTCGTTCCTCGCTTCTTCCAATCCTAGTAAAGAGCTTAAGATCCGATTCTACACTACATACGATATTCCATTCCGGCCCTCACTAGCTCTTCGCTTGGTTGTACAAAGAGCATGCCCGAGGGGGTTACTACGCTCACCGCGCACTTGCATCACCACCTGAGCTTCGCTACCGCTTCGCCCAGCTCCTACGCCTACCACGAATCTTTAATCATCACGTGGCTGCTAAAGCAAGCTAAGCTTCACACGGCCCTGAGGAAGCCAAAAGACCCTCTCACGGCCGAAGGCTCCGCAACACGTTGGAGAACTTTTAGATCCCGCCCTAAATCGCCCATTTTCCTAGAGTTCCGAAGTGATCCTCATTCTCACCGCAACCTTCTTACTTAAGCCGAAAGAAAGCCGGGCAATAATCGGGTAGTACGAAGGGGAAGCAGAATCGTATCTGGCAGTGGTTCTTCGGATCGATCACAGATTCTCGGCCCCGTCGTTTGGCTTCCACTCCAGTTGACCTCTATTGTTCTCCCTCCTTACACAACCGGGTGGAGGACTCATGTAAACTTTTTCCTGTAGGTCCCCGTTCAGGAAGGCATTTTTAACATATAATTGGAACAGAGGCCAATCTCGATTCGCAGCAATAGAGAGCAGGATATGAACAGACTTCATCTTGGCTACCGGGGCAAAGGCTTCCTCATAATCTATCCCATATGTTTGAGTAAAGCCTTGACTAGCCTGACCTTTTCCTCCTTTCTCCCACAAAGCTTCCCTTCACAACCAGTCCCATATCAAATTAGTAGAATTCGAGATGGGGAGAGTCAAAATGATACAAATGCGCATTTCCTCTCTGAATCGATAGGTATCAGATCGAAGTCACATAAGTAATGTTTTATAAAAAAAGTTATTTCCGGGAGAACAAAGTGGATTTATGAGCAAATTTTGGCATGATAGGACCAATGAGACAGAACACTATTGGATGCATTCCTTCGCAAGCAGGGCTTCAACCTCATCATGAAAGAGCATACGGTTGGTTGAAGCGCAAGATTGGCAGTATCCTCGAATTCCCGGAAACAAAGCTATCCATTTCGAGCAACTATTAGTGCAAACCACTTGAATACGAATGAGATCCATAATTACACCATTTCATATATAATAGTTTAATGAGAAAAGAAAGAAGAGAAATTTACTCCTCGCCCTGCTCAATTACTACTGGGATAACAGGAATAAGACGCCGGGGGGAATTAGTCACTATTAGGTTGTACGTATTGCACTTAGTTCTCTCTTGTTACCATCTTAGACTCCGAGTTCTTCTAATTGATTACAAGTATATCTAACCCTAAAAGACCTCGCAACTTGAAGGCTTAGGCACCTTGCTTCAGCTGCTTTCCTTATTTCCTTACTTAACTTGCCTCACTGGCTAGATACCTTCCCAATACTTTACTTGAATGTGAAGGGATAAAAAGTACTTGCTGCTTGAGAGCTTTCCCACTTTCAACTGACGCGTAAACTATCTCCCTCCCCTATAGCGAGCTAACCCATTCCTACTCTACTATAGTCTTTGTTTGTTTGCTGGCACAGGTAGTAGAGGCATTCTCCACTCCATATGTAGAATCTGAAAGTTAAAGGCATCATTGGTAGGCGGACAAGAGAGCATTCCTGTGTGATTGGGGAGAGAATAAATAAGGTAGGCACTGTGAATCGGGAAATTCGAAAAAGGATATCTGTATAATGAGTACCTCTTATGAAACCATACCACTCCTCTGTTTTATTCTGGTAAAGGGTCGGAATCAGTCCACGAATGAGTTCCTTATTAACTAAAAAATATCTCCTAAACCAAGGCATAGTAGCTTGTTTATGTCTGATTAACCTCCAGGCGCTTTTTATGGAAAACTGACTGATCAGGCATTCATATAACTGTGTATTATCGCTCACTGTTCAAGGGCCTTATGGCTCTGATACACTCCCCAATTTATTGCTGGTGTGTATTTGCACCTGCAGGGAGGGACCATCTGGAATTAGAAAGTATGTCTGCAACTTTTACATTTCTTTTTGAACACCAGACTCCCCTATGATCTGCTCACCATACATACCTTTCAACTATAGAACCTATAGGCAGCAAAGAGTCATACCAGAGAGATGTATTGGTTCCATTGCCAACATCATGTATAATATATCTTATAGCCAACTCTCTCACCTGTAAAAGTTTCCTAAAAATCCAGCTACCATTATTTGGTTTATGGTGAAATACACCCACCAACAAAATGCTTATAAAAAAAAGAAGCATTGTATGTAAAATACCTATAATCTATATAAGGACTTTTTGCAGCCAGAACCCAGATATGCTTCAACATAGCAGCTTTATTCCACTCCACCAATGAAGCCCGAAACCACCTTATTTTTAAAAATTAAAAGGGCAGAAAATTTCCAAGCAACATTCCCTTTGTTCTTAACCATATCAGGACCAGACCATAAGAACCCTCTGCAGATCTTCTTGTCTTCAAATAAAAACCTGCACTGGCAGTATGAACACAGTACTCCAGTAAACTTGCATGCTAAAGAGGGCACTCTTAACCAGTTGCCCAACATATAAGAGGTATTTTCCAGTCCATCTTTGTACTCTAGCTTTGATTCTCTCAATTAGAGGCAAACAATCACTAACTGAGAGCTTTGAAGGACTGGCCCAGGTACTTTATTGGCATTTTAACTTCATTGAATTGAAGCCAATTAGATTTTTAATATTTCACTTTGCAGCATCAGAAAGATCTCCATAGTCGATTTGACTCTTGGATATGCAGTAAGACCAGAAAGATTTGCAAATTCTTTTAAGCATTGATTGACCACAGCAATGGAATCTTCAGCGCCTGAGCATAAAATTAGTAAATCATCCACAAAACATAAATTATTAATCTCATTATTTCTGCAATTTTTATGATAACTTAAGTTTGGATTAGTTCTGGCTTCCTGCTTGAGTTTCCTTGAAAGATACTCCATTCCTATTAAAAAAAAGATAAGGCGCTATAAGCCCTTGTCTTATTCTTCTATCAATTCAAGCAGCAAATCCTTCTCACGAACTAGAGATTTAGCAATCAACTGAGTG